CCGGCCCCTGCCCCTCGCCCCCCAGCCGGCACTCGCCCTCCGGCTCCCCGGGCTCCACCGCGGTGGTGTCTGGCAGCTCCCCTCCCAGCCCCGGGAAGAAGCCAGCAGGGCTGATGGTGGCCCCGAGAAGCTCATTCTCGGACACCAAGCCCAGAACCGCAGCCTGCGCCAGGGACAGCACCACCACCGCATCCGTCTGGGTCCCGCACTCGGTGAAGCGATCCATCTCTCGCCGCCTGCCTACGCTGTCATGGCTGGGGGGGGGGGGATTAGCCTTCCTGGTGCCCCTGCCACCATACAGCTGCTGGAGACACCGCTCCGTGAGGGGCTCATTCCAGCTGTCACCCCTTTCCTGATCACCGTTCCCAGCAAACCCCAGACTGATGTGCGTGATGCCAGTGTGGGTCCCTGGCACCACACACCCCAGGATGTGGGGGCAGCACAGCCCTGGGGGTCTCAGCTGCAGGGAGGGACTGGGGAGCCAGGCTGTGGAGGGAAAGCTTGTCTCTGTGTCCGCTGTCAGCCTTTCTGGCCGGCCTATCGAACCCTGAGGTTGAGGTCTGGTTCCTCGCGTGCCCCAGAGCTCCCCAGCAGCGACTCCTGGGGACAGGTGCCCATGCAATTTGGGGACCAGTCAAGCAAGCCGAACGTGCCGCTCTGCTCTGTGTTTCTTGCAGGAGCAAGAAGTGGCAGTGAAGGGCACGGGGAGCCCGAGGAACCAAAGCGCAAACCCTCCTCACTGGGAACATCTAGAAAGTGGTCAAAATGCCAGGCTTGCGAGCCCAAGTGAAATGCACGGCACAGGCTCTGCTTGGCTCAGCGCTGGTGCCTTTGGCATGCTCACCCGTGGGAGTCCAAGCACCGCCATGGCGTGGGAGGCAGCTCTGGGTTTGGGCGTGCTGGCCCTGAGCAGGCTGTGCTGGTGCCCCGTGAGCCCCCTCGCTGCTCCAACCTCCCCTGCCCCGCGACAGCCGGGCTCCAGCTTCATGTTTCCCACCTGGTCCATCCCTCTCGTCTCGCAGCCCTCTCAGCGCCATGGCAAGCACCTCCTCTCTCCTTTGCTTTTGCTTTTGTTAATGCCTTTCAGCAGCGCCGTTTTGTCCCAGCAATAAGCACGCCAGGTTCCAGCAGTATTTCTTCAGGTTTTATAAGTGGTTTGTTTCCATTTTTCCTGCCTCCCTCCCCCTGCAGCACTACCGATCCGTACAGCCTGCTTACAGACTTACGAAGTCACTTGTCAGAAGAGGGCTACACAGTTAAAATCCCTGGGAAAGCCGCGGTTCTCCAGGGCCCTGGTGCAAACACAGAAGAGCAGCAGGCAATGCTCCCCCCAGACTGTGAAGGTTTAAGAGTCCTCTCCCTCCCCCATTGCCCCCCCTCTCCGAGGTGCCCCCCGAGCATTCATGCCCATGTCAGCTCTGGGGCGGCGGGGGCCGCGTGCCCGAGTTACACAGGGAAGAGGCGCAGGACACAGACAGGGTCAGAGCAGGACGACCCAACACTAATGCCACCCTGGGGCACACGGCAAAAGAACCACAACTGGTTTATCCCCACTCAGACTCTTGGGACCCAGAGACACATCCCCACCGCCCTCCAGGAGGGCTCGCAACAGGATCCTGCAGGACTCCAGTCTTGACCTCGTGCTATTTAACTATTCCATCCATTTTCAGGAAGAAAGTCAGATAACTGCTCACAGATGACACACACAGTGATGCTCACTTGTGTGGGGAGGAGCGTATTGCCATGGGACTCACCAGCAGGACAGCCGGTGCTGGTACCACAAGATTCCCTGAGCAAGTCATCCTGATAGAAATGAAGGGAGACCACAAGGAGACGGATTAGGGCGCAGACATGGCTGTAGGGTGCGAGGCAGCAGCCTGGACCTGCGAGCAATGTGGAGCCTCCAGCACCCACGTGGGCAACCTGCAGGAGCGTGCCAGAGCCCACCGGAGAGGCGGCACAAGAGGAGCCGCTCCACTGCTGCTGTTCGCTGCATCCGACGCTGGTGACGGCTGGGGGAAAGGTGACAGTGGAGCTCACATGGGAGCAGTGCATGGTGCCAGCCAGTTTGGGAAATACAGACTTGAAAGGTCAGTTAGACACCAACCAGCTTCGACTAGAAGGACAAATGACCTTTGGTGGAGAAGCAAGGAGCGGTGAGCAAGCACAGGGGAGCACACTGGGAGATCATGCTGATGCCATGGTATCACCACAGGGTATACGTGGGACCACAGCAAACTCACAGGCCCGCATTTCTGGCAGCAAAAGCCAAAAGACAAATGAGCAGAAAACCCCACGTTTACATCATGCCTACAGGCGGTTGCCGCTGGCCTCACCTGGCAGCTGCTGGGCCACTGGTGCTGGGTTTGCAGGGGCATCAGGTGTGGAGCACCCTGGGGACAGCAGCTCCGCTCCTGAGCCTGGGACAAACCAGGAGCTCCCTGTGCTCTGGTGGTCTCTGGGGACCCACCGGCCTGGAGAGCAGAGCACAGGGCACGTTCCCACTGAAATAGTGTGGCCGGTGTGGGAATAGCCGTAGGGAAGGACGAGGCCCTTCTGAAGAGCCGGCGTTCCTCACGAGGCGGACGGAGCCTGCACCCGCCCCACCAGCACCAGTCCTTTCTGGAGAGCTCAGAGGCAGCCTGC